AGAAGCCTTCCCAGCAGACGGCTTCACTCACAGCACCTGTGCTCAAAGGAAAGGCTGCCGGACGTTTTGGATGTCTGGGTCAAAGGTGAGCTTTGCCCAGGTCAGGGAAGCGGCTGATTCGAAAAGGTGTCAAGTCATAGGATGGTGTCAACTTCATGCTTAATTCATACAGGATCTTGCCCACAACGGGGGACAGCTTGAACCCATGCCCTAGAGGAAGAGGAGCAGCTTGTCAGGCGTCCTCAGAGACGGGGTGGGCTCCCTGGAGGCCCCGACACCGTCCCGAGATAGAGCCTCCCATAGGAGCACCCGTTCCTCTGACTTCCCGGCCCAGCCCCTTACACACTCAGTGTCCAGGCGCTGGCCCCCAGTGGCCAGCTAACACCATTTTGCCTGGCACCGAGCACCGGCACTCGCCTTTAAGGCCCCCCCGCATCTCCCCCTCCTCAGACTCACCCGAGAATCCGGCACCAATGATAATGTTGTCATACTCCGGGTGTCGACCAAGAATGAAGTGTTTGTCAGGGGTGTCCTAGAAAGAGAGTCACACCTGTGTCCTTGGAGGGCGGAGGGAGGAAAGCTGCAGGCTCAGGAGGGAGAGGGTTAGGCTGGCTTTCTTTCCAGAAAGAATGGGAATGCGGCACAGGAACGCTCTCTGCACGCCAGTGCCCCCTTTGGGTATGTCAGCCTTTCTCATTTGTCCATCTGCCTCTCTCCTCCACAGAGCTATGAACACAGTAGGTGCTCAGTTAATGCGCGTAAACGAACTTAGCCAAGATGCCTCAGGCCCTGGTGACATCTGTCTCTTCCCTTTGTCCCTAAGGCCCGCTCAACTAGAACATCTTGCCAAAAAATCTTTTAGAGCCCTTCTGGGAAACATAGCGAAGGACTGCCAGGCGTAAGTCTAGTTTCCTAATGAAAAGGCATATGAATAACCTCTAATGGGCCCTCTCTGGTGGAGGTGAACCGAACCACAGAAATTAACTCATTTGTCTCAAGTCACATCCGATGTCAGGAGTCGGGGAGAGTCAAGCCTGAGCGACGCTGGGCCGATCTGTCTCCTTCCCCTGCTCTCCGGGGCCGCCCGCCCCCGTACCGTGTACATGCAACGCTCCACCACGGCAGGCTCGGGCTCCAGGTCAGGTAAGTGATCTCTGACAAAGCGGCTCAGGATCTGCACGTCCTGGATGTCTGAGAAGGCGGTGGGGCAGTCCCTCTCCTCGGGATCGGCGTTGTTGCCGTGGTGATAGCAGACCTGGCTCCCAACCAGAGCAGGGTGAGTGAGCTGCGAGGGCCGGCCTTCCCGCACACCCACCCAGCCCAGGGGACAGACAGGCTTGTACACACAGTGCCCCCATCCATCATCCCAGCCTTCCCCGGTTCCTGACAAATGCTGCTTGCTGCCACGCTAGGTTGCCTAGTTGTTCATTCCCCGCCAACCCTCTGTGTGCAAAGGAAGGGCTCCCCTGGTGGGGCGCCGGGACAGCTGGGTGTCTTGCAATGCAAGTCGTGAATAGCGAGTAGAGGCCCACGGCCGCCCACTGCGATCTGAGGGAGTCCGCTGGGAACGGGAGAGCAGTGGCCCCGATCTCTGTGTGCACCCCTCCTGGCCTTCTCTCTGCCTTTCGCTCACCTTCATCAGCCCGGGGTACTCTCCGGAGGGCAGCCCATAGATGTGGTGGGGAGCCAGGTTGAGGTCCAGGCCCAGGAAGCACGGAAAGGCCTGGGACACGCCATAGCTTCCGGGAACCTTCTCTCGCCAGTAACACACATTGATCCGCAGGCTCTAGAAGCAGGGAGCGGAAGTGGGAGGTGAAAAGGGAAAGCCTGGGAACTCCAAAGACAACGCTGGGGTCTTACAGCCCTGCAATCCAGCCCGGATGCCCCACTCCACTCATCTGTCCCCTTTTCATCCAGTGCTCATGTCATTTGCGTGTTACACTATATGATGATGCACAAAAATCCCTGAATCTCTGTCTCTTCTCCCCTCTTAGTCTTCTCCTATAACTAACAGCCTTCCTGCTTTCTCTCCAGGAGTTAACAATGCCTTCTATTTATGGAGTGCTTACAAGTGGCCAGACGAGCCGTGGGCAAACTATGGCCGTTTGAAATGAATAAAACTATTGAAAAAAAAGACCGTACCCTTTTCTGTAATGATGTTTACTTTGAATTTATATTAGTTCACACAAACACTCCATCCATGCTTTTGTTCCGGCCCTCCGGTCCAGTTTAAGAACCCACTGTGGCCCTCGAGTCAAAAAGTTTGCCCACCCCTGGGCCAGACCATCTCCGAAGGGCGTTATGTATATCTTTTCATTGAATTCTCCAGCAGCCCTACCCCCCATTTTACAGGTTATACCACTGGAGGCTCAGTGAGGGAAACGAATTTGCCCAAAGTTGTCCACCAGTAAGTGGCCATCTGGCTCCAAGGTTTCTTCTCTTAAGCACCAACTCTCGGGCTTCCAGCGTCCCTTACCTGGAGAGGCAGCTCAAGTCCCAGGGGACGGAGGAGCCTGTTGGTCCAAGGACCTGCTGTGATGACCAAGCTGTTGGCTTGGTAACTCTTACAGGTGGTTTTCACTACAATCGGTAGCCCTGGTTTTATCTCCATCACCTTCTCTCCATCACACACTTTGCCTCCTAGCTGTCGAATTGCATCCTGAGAGGACAGGATCAGAGAAGGGCAAATGGTTATATATGCCGTTCACCCTGGTGGACCAAGAGTGCTTTGCTTAGGGCAGAAAGGAGTGCACATTCCAGACCTCCTCTCCCACATTGGCCAGACCTGGCAGGGTACACAACTGCCCCGCCCAAAGGTCAAGACTAAAGCCAGCATGGCGAAGGCTCTCACCCAGTGGGGGAAGGCGGGTTGGGGCATGACCGATTGGGACCCAGGATGCCCAGATCAGGAGCTGCATTGCCCCTAATACTGCACAGTCTCACCTGAAGGACCCTGAGGGCCTTGGCTGCATAGAGAACTCCTCCCGACTCTTCCAAGAGTCCCACTTCCCCCTTGGTCAGCCGAATGTTGGGGAAATGTTGCTTCAGTTCTTCAGATGAAAGACACTGGTGTTTCACCCCCAACCTAGACAAAGTAGCCTGGGTTGCCTTTAATTCTTGATTCTCCTTTACTCCCAGCAGTAGTAGTCCAGTCTGCCTGTAAAGAGAGAGAGAGAGAGAGAGAGAGAGAGAGAGAGAGAGACCTGAGTGAAGGTTTGCATCAGGGCCCTGGGCCATTCTCTCTCATTCTTCAACAAGGGTCCCAGGGCCAGGCATCAAGGAGAGTCCCAGCCTCCCATTAAACACACACACACACACACACACACAAGTGAAGTTATCTCAACTCTGCTGCAAGAATCACAGTGTTACTGAGCTGGTTTCCAGGCCATTCCCAAGTCTGCCCTTGTCTCTCACTGCTATCGGTTTGCTTGTTTCCCCCTCATCCCTCTCAGGACACCCATTCTGACTTTGAGGGCAAAGATCCTAAGTCCTCTTCTTTTGCCACACCTCGAAAGTCGTAGGTGTTCAATGAGTTTGATGTGATCTCTTCCCTTCCTCCCATCCCCTGACCCTATCTATTCACTATTTTCATCTTTACCCTTTACCTCCTCCCCCACCCCTGCTGTTTCTTTTCTCTGTCCCTTTTCTTGTCAGGTAATGTTTTGTCCCTTCCTTGTCTGTCTGTCTCTCTGTTCCTTCTTCGAGGCTGCGCATTTTGTGGAAAAGGTCCTACGTTGGGAGGTCTGGCTCTGGGGCCAGTCCCAGCATCCCCTGTAACCTTGCTCTGGTTTCTCCGGGCCCCAGCTTCCTCCTCTGTGACAATGTCTATTGGACTATTGGTGGTTCCACATCAATATGCACCATCGCCAACCCAGGGGCATGTGCAAATATCATGGGCCTTTTTTTTTTTTTTTTTTTTGGTTGTCACAATGCCTGGGGGTTGCCATTCACATTTAGTGGACAAGGACCAGGGATGCTAAACCTGCGATGCTCAGGCAGATCCCACCCAGATGCCAATGGCACCTTCATGCAGAAATGCCAGTCGATGGCCTCTTAAGGCCCCAGCAGTTAATTTAGTGATTCTACAATGTTGTTTCTCTTTATTCTTCCCTCTGTGCTTCCTACTCACTAAGGCAGTAAAAGCGGTCTCTCTGTAATGCTTCTGTCTCTCGTCACAAGAAACCAGAGATCCCCCTTTTTTTGTGTGGAAATTCATCTAAACAATGGAAAGGTCACTTTGGCCCTTGGAACCATTCCTGTCATCGCTCAGTTTCAGCAGCCGTAGTGGCCGGCATCAGCCTGGTACATCCTCCGGGTACCGCATATAAAGCTCGTAATAGCCTATAATGGAGTCTCATGGATATTACATGCTTCCAAATCCCACATTATCTGGTTGGGGGGATTAAAGAGAAGACTGGGAGGGGTTAGGAACACAGTGGGCCCCGGGGCTGGTGTCAGTACACAGAGCCACGCAGCGTGCCCAATTCATTTGCCATGGCCCCCGCCTACCCAGCGTTCACCACTGGTGAGAAAGCAGTAAGTACCTCTGCCTCTTCAGAGCTCGGCAGAGGAAGGATGCTAGAGAAATCCCCGCTACCAGCAGACGGCCTTTTTCCTGTGGCCCCAAAAAAGAACCTCAGGTGGGTGCTCAGCTGATGGAAACTTGCCTAGTAAACATCATGGTCAACAGGATAATTAAGAAGTCACCCAAGTGTATGTTCTTGAGCCCTTTTTACCCGATAGGGTTGTAGCTGGGTAGAATTCTGGGAAAGACTTTGGCTTAACCCCTCCCTATAGCAGTCAGATCGCTGGCCTGGAAGTAGAACCCATATCCTAACCCTGCCTGCAATGTATCAGCCTTGGTCTCTCATACGCTCTCAGATTTAGTTCCTTTCCCTTTCTCCCTCCTCACTGCCTCCCTCCCTTCCTCCTTTTCTTTCTTCCTTCCCTCCTTCTTCCCTTCCTTCCTTGAAATAAGAACCCCTCTCACAGGAATGTACAGTACAGGGGAAATGAATGCAGGCCAAGACAACAGGCGGATCTGCTGAATTATGAAATGCTGAGTGACGTTCTCATTCCCAAGCCGTCCTGTGGCGGGTGAGGCAGGAGCGCCCCATCCTGAGGAATAATCAGCGAGCTGGTTCTGCCGGCGAATGTAATTGTGCCGATCGTAATCATTTTGCTCCCGCTCTCTGCCCCTGTGGCATTTATTTCTTAGCCCAGATATTGATCTAACAGTGGGAAATTTTCCATCTGAATCGGTGATGCTGGACCCTCCCCTAGTCCGAAGATGCGTTTGGGAAATTCTCATTTTCCGTGGATCACGGCTGAGCTATTTGGCCTGAGGGAAACCGTGCCCTGCCGGAGAAGCGCCTCGGATTGGAGAGAGATTTTTTTGACCATTATGAGCAAATCGGAAATAAATGTAAAACACTGCCTGGAAATGCAAAGGCCTGTCATTATGGGAGATAGGTGAGAGGCTCCGGTGGGAAATGCTTAGAGAATTGGAAGTCAGTCAATCAAAACCGGGATGGGAGAGTGGGCCTCCTCACAGTATGAAGATAGATGACTTCCATGGGCAGATTGAAAATCATTTAAGTGCTTATTTTTTTTAATGGCTTTTCTAGATCCCAATAAACAGACTGCTCATTTTGCATCCATTTCTCGCCCCTGTGCCCTGGGCCTCCCTCTCCTCTTTTTGGCTCTGACCTAGGCAACAAAATTTGGGGAGATGTCACAGGAAAAAGAAATGCCCAGAAAATGACTGGTCGGGGCTGGCCTAGCAAGAAGGCACCCCGAGGGAGGCTGGGGGTTCAGGAAACCCTGGAACGAGTGCAGCTCCCAACTCTTCGAATGTCCTCAGCTGAGTACAAAGCATTTGGTACGAATCGCGCCTTCCTCCCAACCCCAGCTGGACCAGGCACGAGGAAGAGGTAATCAAAGATTCCTCCCAAGGCTCACATCAACTCGACGGCCCCACTAAAGCCATGGAGTTGGTGATTAGGGATTTCTCCCAGTTACTATAGCAGGACAGGAGGCAAGATGGAGTGGGGAGGAATTGGGGGGGAAGAGCAGACATCTCGCGCCACATCTGCCAAGTCCTAGGCCCGTCTCCAGCTTCCCCCTCTCTGGGTTAAAAGTACCAGGCAAGCCAGCTCTCAGAGTCACCTTGGGGAAGGGATTCAAGTAAGGACTGGGTGGTGGCTGCTGTCTTTGTTGGTGCTGGAGGAGCTCCTGGCGTTTCATCTTCTGTTCAGTGGGCCGAGGTGGAATCGGTTAACAAAGACCGCTCCAGGGAGGGGATGTGGCTGACAAGCCAGACACTTCGCAGACACAGGAAGCAGCAGCTGCAGAGGGGGCCACCAGGTTCTGCCAGCAGCTGTACTGCCTACGGCTGTGATCTTGTCTGATATTGTCAGCTAAGCAGGGGCAGCCGGGGTCAGGAGCTAGATGGTAGGCCTCAAAGGAAAAAGGCGGGGCGGGGCAGAGAGGGGCCACAGAGCTGGGATTTGCTGTTGCTATCACCGTCCTGGCTGTACACAGCACAACGATTCAGACCTTGTGATCTGACACATGTGTCACAGTCTGTTTCCAGAATGTATGCAAATACCCCCCGCTCACCCATGTTTAGTATGCCACTGTCACAGGAAGCGACAGAACAGAAGAAAAAGAATTGAGCAACTCCTGAAGGTGTTATTTTTTTCAAATCATCATCAAATAGCATTAAGTAAATGCATCCATATCTATCAGTTAGATTATGATATTGTGCTAGTTCTTCCAGAAGGACCTGTGACTATATGATCCACCGCGAAGATGATGGATCATTTAGAAAATCCGAATTAAGAACAACAGCCAAAGGAATTGGAATGGGAAGTATCTGTTCTGTGTCCCCTACTAAGTTAAAGAACCAAATAAATTAGTGTGCCTGAGGAAATTAGGTTAGCCATAGAAAGGACTTGTCAATAATAACAATACAGAACACCTAACACTCCATAGGACTTTTAAGGTTTTCAAAGCACATTCACTTTACTCTTCCTTTTTCATAATTGAGGCTGTGAGACATCAGAACGGTCTTTTAAGGAGGGCTATGTCTGTCTCTGTCTTTAAATGTACCATACGTTAGCAGTCTTCTGATCTGGGATGATTTAGCAATAAACTTGTTTGGAGACAGGGGGTAGACAAAGTAACCAATTTGTGGTATCTTCTAAACCAGGGGGCCAGCAAACTATGACCCGGGGGAAATCAGGCCTGACATTTGTTCTTGTCATAAGCCAAGATGGTTTTTGTATTTTTCAATGGTTGATAAAAAGCAAAATTTCATGACATGAAAATTGTATGAAATTGTGTCCATACGTAAAGTTTTATTGGGACACAGCCATGCTCATTTGTTCACATATTCTCTGTGGCTGCTTTCACACTGCAGTGGTAGAGTTGAGTAATGGGCAAAATTCAGTAGTTGCAACAGAGACCATATGGCCTGCAAGACCTAAAATACTATTTGGCCATATACAGAAAAAGTTTTCCAAACCCTGCTCTAGACTATAAGAATTCTGTGATGTGCACTAATGGGTTAAGGCCCTGACTACTCAGTAGCAACCCTCTAATGAAATTTAATGAGAATTAAATGAGTTAATAATATATCAGGTAGTTTTAGAACAATTTGACGTTCTTACTATAAGCACTAAATATGTGATGATGATGATGATGATGCTTTGTCTAAGCCCTTTTCATACTTATTCTCACAACAGCCCCTGAAATAGTTATTATTACTCCTACTTTACAGATGGGAAAACTGAGTCTCAAAGACATTAAACAATTTGCTCCAAACCACACAGCTAAAATGTGTCAGCGCTGATATCCAAAGTCCTGTCCTCCTGCCAAAGAAGAAGATTATGAAAATATGAGCATCTCCTACCCAAGGGTGCCTTTCCCTCTCTCCCTTTCCAGCAGCCTTTCCCCTTGATGTTCTTGGTTGCTGCATCCCATCTGTCTCCTCCTGCCCTACTTTCTCCCTGGCTCAGTTGAGACAGGATGTGGCTAACCCAAAACAGGTGAGAGGAACTGCCGTTTATTGAAGAGTGCTAGGCACTGGGCCAAGTATTTCACAAGTCTCGTTTAATCCTCACAAAACCCTGTGAGAAAACATGAGACACAGAGAGGTACAGAAACTTTCCCAAGGTCACATAGCTGGTAAGAGGTAGAGCACAAAGGCAAATTCAAGCCTTCTGACTCCAGACACTCTTCTTCTTTTTAAAAATATATTTTTATTGATTTCAGAGAGGAAGGGAGGGGGAGAGAGAGAGAGAGAGAGAGAGAGAGAGAAACATCAATGATGAGAAAGAATCATTGATTGGCTGCCTCCTGCACGCCTCCTAATGGGGATTGAGCTCGCAACCCGGGCATGTGCCCTTGACTGGAATCGAACCCAGGACCCTTCAGTCTGCAGGCTGACGTTCTATCCACTGAGCCAAACCGGCTAGGGCCAGACACTCTTCTAACGTCTCTTTTAGTTGCCTCCTTGACTACTAGGAAGAAGTTTGCCCTCCAAGGTTCAGCATTTCTTTTAGCACAAGAGACTCAGCAGTATTCGCAGATGGCTGACAGACAGGGGTCCCTTTGCCAGGCCACCCCTCAGCGGGACATGCTCCTTTATTTGGGTGCTGGGTGCATTAGCTGCCTCTGGAATAAATCTGTAATTAGCTGCCCTTGCTGTATTTGCATAATGGATTTCACTTTGTTCTCAAGTTAATGGTGTTTTCGCAACAGAACAGTAACCTCTTGGTTCCTGTCCATTAAAATAACTGCCACCCTGTAGGGTAGAGCTAGAGTTTTGTAGGAAGTTCAGTTAAGAGCCATAGAGATCAACCATAAAAATAAAAAAGAAGGGGAAAAAAGAGTCACAGAGAAGATGGGAGCGGAGGTGGTTGGGTGGTTCAAGTTCTCTGTGTATCACAGGCTTTCTTCCCCATGAGCGTGTGAAAGGTCATTTAGGAGGGGGCCTTGAGGGTTGTCATGGGGGCAACAAGGAAAGAGCTGCAGGCTCACTCCCTGGCAAGCAATGGGGTCTGAGGAGCAGCCCTACTTGGTTCTATGGGAGGAGGCGTTCAGAGAGAATAAAATGGATTTATAGGGGTCACTCTGGGAGTTGGGAGCTGCACCCAGCATGAAAAGTTATGATACTAGTAGGAATATAAAGAATCAAGACAGCAGCCTCCTGTTCTATAACCATCCCTGCCCTAACAGAATCTCAGAAGGCTTCATGGAGATATAGACACAACCTCGGCTAGCCTTGGACACATGGTCTCAACCCAGCCCTGGAACTCAGACCCCGGCAGGAGCCATCTGGACCTGTGGGTGACCATAACGGTGAGCAGAATGCTTCCATGTGACTGGCACTCCCCTAGGCCCCGTGTCCCTCCATGGCATTTCAAGTGTGCACGGCACTGCTCCCTCACATCCTAGAAGCACCTCCAGGTGCCAGGCCCCATGATTCAAGGAATTCTTCAACCTGTATAATTGGGTTCCAGCTTCGTGCTCCAGCTGGGCCCATATCTGGTAGCACTCATCCATCATCTGGGTGTAAAACTCTTCAGGGTATGCCCTTCGGATTATCCGGCTCTGCCCGTGGGAGCTTCCTCGGGAGTGTGGTAGAAAGAACTGGAAGTGGAAAACAAGAGAGACAACTGAAGCTGTTACCCTTTGCCCTCCCTCGCCCTGCCACGCCCACCCCACTCCCTTTAAGAGCCAGTTCATCAAGTCAACCAGGAGCTGTCAATCAAGAGCACTTATTCTTCAAATATTTCCATACACTCTCCCTTTATGACCACGTTCCTGATCTGGCTGTCAGAACAGAAGTTCTTCGGCTTCCTTTTTTGCTAACATCATTCACATCCCCGAAGCCCCTTTGTTAGTGTGTCTTCAGTCATCCTGCTGCTACCCCATCCTACTTAGAGGCGCAGAGAAGCAGAATTAGAAAGGGCCTTTGAGATCATTCTAGTCTAGCCCCTCATTTCATGGACAAGGAAACGGATGCTGACTATTTCCCTGTGGCTTCGGATCACTCAGGACAAGGAAACCACTTGGGATTTAGCAAAAAATAGAGAGTTGCCTGCAAGGTTGAACCAAGAATCCCTCGGGCTTTGAGAAAAAATGACAGAGAAATAAAAAAAGGTTTCCAGCCCTAGCCAGTTTTGCTCAGTGGATAGAGCATTGGCCTGAGGACTGAAGGGGCCTGGATTCGATTCCAATCAAGGGCACCTGCCTAGGTTGCAGGCCCAGTCCCCAGTAGGGGGTGTGCAGGAGGCAGCTGATCGATGATTCTCTCTCATTATTGATGTTTCTATCTCTCTCTCTCCCCCTTCCTCTCTGAAATCTATTCCTCTCTCCCTTCCTCTCTGAAATTTCCAACCAATCCAGCTTATTACCAAGAAGAATCAACCAAACCAGGCAGAAGGGGAGGGGAGAAATCTTTGGCAGGTGAGCCGGGTGGACATGTCCTGGGAAGAACCCTGTAGACAGGCAGGCCCACCCGCATGTGCCTGGTCACGGTAGACAGCACTGCCTGGGGTCACCTTTTCTATAAGGAAAACTAAGACCAAAGCCTTATTTCCTGTGCATCCAACAGGCGGCTGCTATTATTCGGAGGCGGCAGAAAAAACAGAAGCCCCCGCTGGGTGCCAGGGTGAGAGGCCAGGAATGTGCAGGGAAGAATCCTACCTCTGAGGCTGACAAATCAGCCTTGCCTCGAGACAAAATTAGCTTTACTTAAGGTTACCCAAAGCAGAACTGATTCTTTTTCTGGGCCAGATCAACCATTTCGGCACAGAAGAGATAGCAAGAAGGAAGAGAACAGGGCCTGGGACACTTCTTGATTAAGGGCAGGAACTGGGCTGATGGTTTCATATTTTGAGAAATAGGACTTAAAAATACATATCTACTTATAGTGATAAGAACTGAATGTAATTTCATAAAAAAGCTGAGATCTTCTAAAAAAAAACAACCTTAAAAATCCTAGTTACTTTTCTTTTCAAGAACACGATTTAGCTTCTGCTCTATAATGACAAAGGGTATCTTTGCATTGTGATGATGCACACACCAGGCAGCTAAGCTACAGATTGCACAGAATTTGTGATGATCAGGCCCTTTGGCCTGGCCCCATAGCCTGCTAGCTCTGGAAACCTCTCTCTAGGGGAGAGACAGGGACAGTCCCTAAGGTCAGGAGCACAGAGGGGACACAGTACCTGCTCCAGCAGGAGAACTCGCTTCCCGTGTTTGGCCAGGTGGTACGCAGTGAAGCAGCCCTGGATGCCAGCCCCGATCACAATGGCATCGCAGAGGTCGTTCTGAGCAGCCATGATGCCCACTTAGCCCCACAGCCACAGAACCCACACACAAAGGAGAGGGCGAGCAAAGCGGGGCTCTGGGCTGAAGGAGGAGGAGTAGGGCAAAGTCCAGCCTGGTCAGCATTCCCACAATCCCCTGGGGCGGTGTCCTTCTCCCCTCCCCCAAAGCCTGGCACCGGGCTCGGCCTGGCCTCCCCTGCAGAGCAGAGCTGGGTAGTCTGATTTGTGAGGGTTAACCCAGCTCAGCTGCCAGCCTCACCCTTTCATCTCTCTAGCTTTCTATTCTTGGCTCAATTATTGTCATGCAAATGGCTCCTTCCTTTGCCACCTTCCTGTCTCATTATGATCTTTGTCTCTGGGACCTCGGCCCTGGAATTTCAATGCCTCCTAGACCAAGCTGGGCACCAGGAATGCTGCCTCCCCCTGCTGGCTTTTCTCTCTTCAGCCTGGTTTCCTTTGAAGATTCTAGAGGGCCAAACGAAGAACTTGGCACTCTGCCCAGGATAAGGTCCACCTCCCTGGGGGTGGTGAGGTCAGGGGGTAGGTGCTGGGGCCAATTGAGAGGGCAGCCTTGTGATTATAAAATTACTCTCAGCGTGTTTTACTTTCATTTTGTTTAAAAGGAGAAGAAGAAATGATCCTGAACAAATGGGAAGGACAGAGTGAGAGGAGCAGGCTTCTCCTGAGCCACAGTCAGGGGGCCAGGCACCAGCCCAGGGCATGGAGGGGCCCAGGCAGCGCTCTCTCTGGGCTAGGCAGTGTGCTAAGTGAGTTCTCCCACATGCATTTGGGACGGAGCCAGGATGGGTAGGGCCTAATTCTCATATGATTTGGCGGTCCTCTTTAAGAAAAGGAAAAGGAAAATGATGAATACAAAATTAGGTGCTAGGACTTGGAAGAAACCATGCAATTAAGGAGCCCCCTGGTTGACGTTTCATTAGCTTCACGGTAAAACTGCCTCTGCATGCATTGTCCTGCTTAATCCTTACAGCCCTAGGCGCGAGTATTTTTATCCCCACTTTTGGCAGGTGAAAGATGGTCCCAGGTTCTCTGTCACTCCTCCCATCACAGGCTCTGTGATTGCTTGACCAATAGAATATGGCAGAAGTGACACTGGGACTCTTTCTGGCCCAGGCCTTCAGAGCCTGAGAGCTCCCTCTTGTCTTGGAGCGCTCGCTGCTGGAGTCCTGAGCTCCCATGTTAGAAGTGCAGCCGCCCTGTTGGAGGGACCACGTGGCGAGGCCCTGAGACTACATGGAGAGCCAGACGAGAGAGTGAAGCCATCTTGGACCCCAGCCCAGCCCAGCCAAGCCACCACCTAAATACCACTGAGTGACCCAATGTATGCCACATGGAGCAAAAGAATCACCCAACCAAGCCAAGTCTGAATTCCTGACCTGCAAAATCATAAGATGGGATAAATACGATCGTTGTTTTTGGCCATTACGTTTTGGGGTCATTGGTTATGCAGCCATGCCAAAATACCACTTTACAGCCAAAGACATCCAGGCTTACAGAGGTTGTAACTCACCCAGTGCCACACACCTGCTAAACTCAGGCACTGAGGCGTGAACCCAGGTGTGTCTGCTCCAGAACCTTAACCACTGTGCTATCCTGGGGACCAGTCAGAACTTGTCATGATGATTCTAATTTGAACATTTTGCTGTTTCTCTCATGGCCATACTGTCAGTGGGAGAAAATAATGGACCGGGATTTCCATGTGAACTCGGGGATCTGCCCAGCTTCTGTTCAGTGGCCGCCTCCAGCAAAGAATGCCCCTGAGTGACCTTGGCCACAAGCTGTCTTCCCAGCCCAGTCCTTGCTTTTCTGGGAATCTAGGAGCCCAGAGAGGAGGTGCCATATGACTGGCTTTCCTTTTCCTTCTGAAAAAAAAATTACTCTAGAATCCATAAGTGATCTCAGCCCCACCTCACCCCAACCCACAAGGCACAAGATAACAACCCCTCACAATTGGACAGCTCCCATAGGGGAAAAAATGGCAAGCATAACGGAGAAAAATGTACTATTTAAGTATATATAAAGGCTTGATATAAATATATAAGGTCAGCCCCCAGATTTCTCTTGATAAGATGTCAGAGGAGATAAACAGTTTACACACAAGGAAAAGCAGATAGTAAATCCTTGCATGGAAGTGTGCCCAGCCTCACTAGCAATGAAAGAAACGGAATTAAATAACTTCAAGGCACGATTATGTGCCCATTAGGTGAGCAAAAATAAATAACAATGATAACATCTGACGGTGTCAGTGCTGTGGGGACGGAGAGGAGGGTGGCAACCCAGAGTGTCCGGGGACTGCGCAGAACGCTGGGGCAGTGTGCACGAACAGTAAAATCGTTTAAACCTTCTGACCTAGAAATCTGACTTGGGAAACTATACCCCGAGGAAATATCAAGGGGAGAAAAAGACATTTGTATGAAGACATTTACAGCTGTGCTCTTGGAGTAGAAAAGATTGGAAACAGCCGGCCACAGGGAATCGCTGAACAAACTCTGGCACGTGAACACAATGGAATACTATGTGGCGGTTCAAAATGACAGGCGCAAGGACCGTGGGCTCCGCAGAAATGTGTACAGTATATGACATCACACTGAGGAGGAGAAGCAGTTCACAAACAGACACACAGATCACAACCCCTAGTCACGTGTGTGTGTTAGCAAAGATCTACAGAGAATCTGGCGAGGTAATTGAGCTTAATGCTCATTAGTTTCCGTATTCTATAAAAATTGTGCTTCCATTGACAATGTGTGAAAGGAGGAGGAATCCCCCGGGGATGCAGATGCTTTAGATCTCCCCGGTCCCTGGCTCCGGGGTCGGGGCAAGTCCTTTCTTTGTTCTCATCTCCGTTTTGCCGGCTGCCCGTAACATTTCTTATTGTTCGTCCTCCAGAAAAGCTACAAAGCCGCTGGCATCCCCCTCCTCTCCTTTGTTTAATATGATATCCCTTCAGAGATAAAATGACAATTCCATTTCCTCATCCCTACTTCACAAGCCTGCCCTGGATTCCTGGACTCGAGCATTATGCTGCTTGTTAAGAATTTCAAACGGCTCCTCCGAAAGCATACACTGGCCGTGGCCCAACCTTGAAATGAAAAGCAAATTGACTTCTGAAGGTTTCTCCTCTGTCGCAGGGCTGCCCGTCCTTGTGGCTGTCCTGACAGGGGAGGGAGAGAGGAGCGAGCCCCTCAAATTCCATTTTAACGCCCATTCTGGGTCGGAAGACCATGAAAGGGAGAGCCCACAGCCCTGCGCCCTGCTGTGGTGTGTCAGCAATTGTGGCTCGTATCCTGGGGCAGAGCCACTGAGGATGTGAGGATGAACTGCTCATCTGATGGCTTGATTGGCACTTCGCAGGTGGGGGTGGGAGAGCCAGGCCAGGGAAGCAGCAATCTGTACAGATCAGAAATAATTAGGGGCCCCGAACTGAGAGAGAGAGAGAGAGAGAGAGAGAAGAGATCTAGGAGTTGAATGGTGAGGGAAAGGGGCTTCTGTTGTCTTTCCTCTGCCATTCTATGCCAAGAAATGGCTTCCAGGGGTAAGAAGGCAGACAGGCCGGGGAGATGGCCCCTCCAGACCCATCCTGCCAGCTGCGGGTGGGGGTGGGGGATGGGGGGAAGTTAGGAGCTGAATGTGCAGAAGACTCCAGCGTGAGGGAATGAAGAGGGGCAGAGCTGGACCCCTACATGGTCTCCTACACACCGAGGACCCACTGAATGCTCAGATTTCATCCCCTCGCCTCCATCCCTGCTCCCTTTGCCCAGGTCATCCATCCGCCTTCCCTCACCTAGATTCTTGCATTAACTCTTAACAGTCTCCCGGCCCCATTCCGGCCCCTCTTAATCTACCCTTCCACCCTGCCTGGCTCCTCCCTCTGAACCATGAATCTGAACGGGTCACGCCCCTGCTGGACCCTCTCTAACAGCTGCCCATTTCTCTGAGGCTAAAACCACAGCTCCTTCCTTTGGCGCACAAGGCGGTTTGCGCCCTGGCCTCCGCCTGCTCCTCCTGCAGTCTGTCTACCACAGGTCCCTTCTCCCTGTGCTCATTAGGCCTGGCTACTGGGAGCTAAGAGAGGTTCCAGCGTTTGCTGTGATGATACCAAACTCCCCCACATCCCTTCCCACCCGGTCTAGTTTCAGTGTTAGCAATGAGCACAGTGTATTGTAATTGTGTGCATGTCTGCCTTCCCCCTCAGCTCCGTAAGGGGGAGGGGGCCTTCTTTTGACTGTCATTTTTCATCGATAATGCAGACATGTGCGACAACAGTTAAAAGGTAAAGAAGAGAACAGATGTCTCCTTCCCACCCTGTCCTCCGCCACTTCATTCACCTCATCACATGCGATGCTGTTACTATTTTCCTTGTCTCCTTCCTGAGATGTTCTGTGGGTACACAAGCTTACTTTCATGGTATATTCTTATGCCTTTTTCATCTCAGAAGGAGCGCCTTGCTGTTTCCATTTCCTGTATTTTGGCTTCTCCGTGAGTCATAGAGAGCTGGCACATTCTGCTGGCGGCTGCATAGTA